CTAAACCCTAAAGCCTGCACTCTGAATCCGGTTTCTGCTAAGTCTTGCAGGGGCACCCTGTCGCTTCTGCTCCTGCTGAAAGCTTTGCTGTGAGAGCAGTCGAGGCCTGTCCTGTGCTCCAGGTTTCTTACATGACATGTAGTTAGGGTTTAGGGCCTTCAGCTTTAGGGTTCAGAGTTTTAGGGTTTATACTTAGCAGGTTTCAGAGATTGCGGTTGCAGTTTCACACAGGTTGCAGGGCTTAGGGTTTACGGTTCAGTGTGTTCAACTTCTGAGAGTTTGTATTTGCAACCGTATCATTTCTTATGATCGCAAACATCATCTTGTTGCTCCTTCTGTTCTTTGCAACGTCCCTGGCTGTTGCTAGGCATGAAACGATTATGCAGAGTCTTCGCATGCATGCTCATCATGCTAGTATTCTCGTAAACAGTGTTCACAATGCCAACGTGGGTTGAGATGAGTTGGCGAATATGCTGAAGATGAAGATGTTCATGATTATGACTGCCAACTTTGGTCTAGCGCCTTATACTGCATTACAATACATCATAATATGTTATACTACGTTATATTATATTATGTTATGCTAGATTACGTCATATGTTGGTGTGTTTGTTTGTACACTATCTTTTATGGTCTTGTATTAGTATCGCCACCGATACTGGCAGCAGAGGTGGCAGTTGTAGGGTAGCTCCGGGTCCTTAAGACCCAAAACATGGAGGCGGCACCATCGGCCGATCTAGGGGTTAGGGCTTAGGGTCTAGGGGGTTTAGGGGATGAGGGGTTTAGGGTTTAAGGGTTCAGTCCCTTGCAGAACAGGTGACGATGCCAATCTTCAGGCAGTGCATAGCATGACGAGGTGCTTGGTTCTAAAAGCAAGAGATGTTGGGGGCCTGATGAGCAGAATAGCTTCTTGTTGTAGGAGGGCGGGTATATTCTAGTGTGTGTGTGTATATATATATATATATATTCAGGGAGAGAGAGAGAGAGAGAGAGAACGACAAGCAGTTCTTCTGTGAAAAAATGTAGTGATTGGTGCTTTTGCACTGTCGCAGGCGAACAAGGCTGCTCGCGATCGTCGTGAAGTCTGCGCCGTGTTCAGGTTTAGCCCGTGACAAAAGCGTCTGGATATAAAAGACTACATGCTGTCGATGTCTCAGAAACTTAATGCGAATCTTGCGCATCATGTGCAAGTGACTTAGGGCCAAGATTCCGGATCTGGAACAGATTGGGGATGACCCGGGCGGCATGCGTGAATCGTCATATCCAGGATCAGCATCATGAACACAACCCAATCTCATCACCACGTCAGCAGTCATCACTATCGAGACCGTGTTGAAATCAGTAACATACACCGGCTGCTGCCATCACCGGATGTATTTTGTGGTGTTTACGACAACTGCTACTATGCGCTGCCACGACCACCTGTTCCACACGTCCCTATTACCGGTATTGCCACTACGTAAACTACTACTCTTCCTCCTCCTCCTCCGCTTCCTCCTGCTAGTACTATTATTATTATACTTATTAATTCTACTACTACTACTACTACTACTACTACTACTACTACAACTGCTACAACTACAACTACAACTGCAACTACAACTACAACTACTACTACTACTACTACTACTACTACTACTCCTACTACTACTATTACT